CAGCAAAATAAGGATCAGTAAATGGATATGTAGCACAAGCCTGTCAAAGTACATTCGATAGTCTAAATATCAGCACTTTATTGAAACAAAAATATAAGAGCTAATGAAGGTTGCCATTAGGAAAACTATTAATGAGATCATGAAGAGACTGATCCTTTGGTTCAGAGTAGATATTTCAATTAAAAAACAAGAAAGAAAAGTAAAAGAGGTAGACTGAGTAAAAGAGCCCCACAATCGATTGACCAAGTTCCAGCTCGGCATGTTGTGAGAGAATCTCAGGCATAACTGAAGTCATGGCAGATGAAGTAGGCAGAAGATTCTGCCTTTGCTCTCCAAGGCCCCCATCTGACAATGAAACAATATTTTATTTTAAGAAACCTGTCTTGCTTATGTTCTAGTATCAAGTCCAACATTCAATACTCTCTAAATAAATAAAAAAATAAAATCTACAAATCAAACACCAAATTACAAATTAGCAAGGAACAATAAAAATTGTGCAACTTAGTAATGATTAAATTTGAACTAATTATTTCCCAAAAAATAACAATGAATAAGAGCTTAGCACCTATACTGAGCTTTTAGTTTCATAACCTTACCATTTGAAGCCATACTCCTGTCCTTGGTCACCTTTTATGGTTTTAGAAGGCCAATAAATAAAAGCAGAACACATAACATGATTACACTTAATAACTCAGAAGATTCAGCACAGAATCATATGGCCTCCTAACTCCAATCAATTAAAACCTACCAAGCTATCACTAACACTGGTCGTCTGTGAAGATTGGATCACGTACATCCTATGACAAATGGTTGGCAAAAACAAATTCCACTCAAAAGCTGAAAACAAGATCAATCCAGTGGCCAAAACACTTGTCTGAAAAAAAAAGAATAAAAAGAAAAGAAAATACTAGGCATGGATTTTTCTTGTATTGAAAAATAGCAAATCAAAGATAAGGCTGATTACTAATAAATAAATAAACGGGTAAAATAACCTGCTCTTGTGCCCATATTCTGTCTCTCTTTACTGGCATCCCCTGTGTCGTCCACACCATCACTTGGTTGTGATTGGCCAGCCTCGTTTCCAACTGAGGGTGACTTGGAGGTACCCACAGCAGCAAAAACAGGACCGCACCACCATGGCTGACCATCGATTGTGGCTGGTAAAGCCGTTTGTACGCTCGGATCTGCTGTATTTGTATTTGTACCACCAGGATATGATTCCATTCCTTCAAGGCACAATTATTCTTGCAAGCTCTTAAACAAAGATAATTTTAATCAGTTAAACAGTATAGCCACATATAAGAAACAGAACAAGAAGAGTTAGAATAGCCCGACAGAGATTAAAAAACAGGAAATAGATGCTAAAACTACAAAAGATATAATTCACGTAGTTATAGGACACGAACCAAAAAGAACTCCTTGTTTCCTAACAGAAAACAGGGCAACCGTAAAAAGAATCCCAAGGGTCTTACTCAAAGAGAAGGACACCACCGTAAGCCAGCCAAACAATCGATGGTGACCCTCCAAAACCCTAATTCTTGAGCAGTTTGAATAAGCAAGTATCCGTTTAGTGCGTCTTATGCCAATCTCCATAAGGAAACAAACCAAAAACAAAGAGATTAAGAGACAGGTCCCAGAAAAATCCCAACTTTACTACCAAACTCATCTTTATTTCCACAACAAGTTTTATGTCCATCGAAAATTGGTGAGGAACTAAGATGACGACATCAAAGTCCAACAGCGATCAAAACCCCAACTTCATCAAATAAGAAGAATCGACAAGCCAAAATAATCAAAGACAACAAAAGTAGCAGCCCCACATCCAATTTCGGTAAATTAATCTAGTCATCAGTCACCAGAAACGCTTATATATATACACACACGTAGACAGACATAAATACCAACCTGTTGAAGCCGCGATCTACGACTGCTTCAATTGAATTGCGGCAGCTCTGAGCAGATGTCGGAAGGACCAATCAGATGAAGCAAGGCCTACAGCCTTAACCTTTTTGCCTTTCCCCCCAAATGAAACAAAAACCCTAGTAAGCGATCGCTTCCAGCCATCGATTTCTTTGTAGGTTCATCCCGCGAGACGAATCAAAGCCATCTCTAACACAATGGAGGAGGAAAGGGTATAATAGGATAACTCCATCTATTCAGTGCTTCAACTTCTTTTACTCGCATATATTCCAGAATTCTCCAAATAAAAAAAAGTAGCACATGGTACCACTCACATTTAGGATAATGACACACTTGTCCTCGAAGCTTATCCTATAATTACCCGAGTTGTACACGCTATCACCACCGGATTGCGATTAACTCTTAAAGAGATCGGGTGATTAGGCTTAATTAGGTTTAACGATGAAGGGTAAATTTGTCATCCCAACCCTGCTTTAATTACCGAAAATGGTAAAACAGGACTCTTTCTCGAACTTTACTTCTCGTGGTAAAAAAACTAACGAAACCGCTAAAAGAGAGACCAGTAGTACCTTCTTTTACGCTGACACACCGTGCGTGCCCGATCATTTACCTGGGTGGTGATTGGAGATATAGGTTAACGATGCGGGACCCAACGCGGGTGGCATTATTTCCCGAAGGTCAAAAAAACCTCTCCGGAATATTCTCACAGCAGGAGGCGTAGGGGTACTTTTGTAAATTAAGCCAGAAAATTACGTCGGTGTTAGCGAACGGGCGGGCGGACGCCTACGCGGCAACCACTCCACTCCTCGCGTCGCTCCTCCGCCGGCGAGAGGCCGGCGGCGTGGAGTAGCGGGGGACACGTGGGTGGTATGGGAGTCGGGATTGGCGGCGCACGAGAGGCCGCCGGTGTCGCGGTCAGAGGGCGGCGGCTCGGCTGCTTGGCGGAACGCGGCGCTGTCGGCGTCGTCGTCACGACGTGACTTACGGAGGAGGGGCACGGACACGTGGGGTGGCCAGCTCGCCACGGGGCCAACAGATGGACGGCACGTGATCTGATCAGAATCTCGGAGAGTTAACCAATTTATATCCAAATAACAAAATTAAACATTAATTATGGGTTCCAGTGTCTCGAAGTGTTGGATTAATGCTGATAAGAAATATTTTGATATCACTCGCACAATAGCTAACAATCAACTCAAAATCAACGTAGCGTTTCAAAGTCGACATGGCGCACATGCACAGTATGACCTCGAAGTAACGTAGCTAACTCGGGAGTGACACATAGCCGAGATCGTACAAAAGCAACCTTACGTTGCGTAGAACTAGAATAGTCAGCTCGTGCTATTTGAGACAGACGAACCAATCAACTGGAGTGTTAATGGTCATTAACAACCTACGTATAATCAACCCTCGAGGAGAGGTATAAACGTCGACCCTCTAGCCAATACCAAGAAAGGGCTCTCTCGATTCACTCAATGATACTATTTATACTATCATCCTTTTCCCCTTCTGTCTGACTTAAGGATCAGAGGTGTCAAGCCAAAAAATCATGATGAAAACCTGTTGTGTAAGACTATCAACAGCCAGGAGATGATCCCACAATAAATGAGACTCTCGTTTCTTTACCCAATCTTTTCGTTTCAAGACTGGATCACTCTCGACGAATTATCCCCCCCGGTGAATCTCTCTCGTCGATCCTCCACATTAGCACTCCACATCAGCAAGAAGGAGATACCAGGATGAGCTTGCACCTTATGCAATGAATCAACCGGATTGACTCACCAGTCGATGGTATTCATGACACTATCAGATGTAACCCTAAATTAAATTGACATTGTATTCATAATTCCATATACACAAGGTAAATAGAACAGAATGAAGCATACCATGTTGCTGATTGAGGTTGCTATTGCATTTGGAGCTAAGTCAAGCATCATACCGCTTCAGGCAGCACCTGGTTTCGACTTCATTGCCAACATGCTAAAAACAAGCTTTCTATACTATATTTTGTTTTGTTCTTGACCATTCAATCAAGGAAAGAACACAAGTCTTTGTCAAATTGAAGCAAGCTCATCAAAAGCAGAAAACGATATGGATTTAAATGGGCACAGGTCTGATTCATGAGGATATTAGTAAACAATACCTATTCCAAATGGGTTTTATGCTTTTGGGACTCATATGAATCTCTCATATGGGTTTAAAGAATTATGTAACTAAGTGTGATGAGAAAGTGAATTATCCAAAAAAAAAACAAAAAAGTGGAAATTTTAGAACTTGTTTATTTCATAAAAAATTATGTCCAAGGGAATGACCTCTTAATTGGGATTGTATAGGATGGAATGCAATTCTTGGAATGACACTAATAGTGGGGATTGGGAAACAAAAGCAAAACAACTGTTGATACAGGAAACAAGAAACATGTATCAAAATATTGACAAATGTTTGTTTTATGTCCATAATCAAAGTAAGATTACTATTTTGATGAATGAAAAGGAAACAGATGAGAAGACAAATAAGGACAAAGAAATATGTATTAATTGGTTGATAAATATTGAAAAGTTATTATAAAATTACTAGAGAACAGTATGCTACAAATTCAAGTTCAAAAGGAAATTTTAACAAGTAATAGAAAAACATGAAATTAAAAAGAATAATTATTTCCCAATTCAATTATTAGAAAATAATCAACAAATTATTAGCATTATTTTCTTGTTGGGAATTCAAATTTCCAATATAAACCATCAATATTATATTTATTTTAAGGGCTGAAGCTTTTATATTCTTTTGTATTTTTTTAATCTTGCATTAACATCTTAGATTCATACACATATAGTGAATTGCAGCTACTATAATGATTTTGTTGCAGGTTGAGAGAGAGAGAGAGAGAGAGAGAGAGAGAGCTAAGCATCCCAAGGGGCACATGTGTTTCCTCTCTCTATCATCTGATCATGATCCTATGCTCCATATTCTCTTTCCCAACTGAGATAGACCCAAAATGTACCAGAGCAATCATGTAGATTTCCAATCACTCATATATATATATATATATATATATATATAGAGAGAGAGAGAGAGAGAGAGAGAGAGAGAGAGAGGAGAGAGAGAGAGAGAGAGATGCAGCTATCAATACAGTTAATTAGGAGAGATGAAGACAGTACTTGTACATAGATACACAGAATAGAGTGGTGAAGTCAGCTACATCTGAACAGTATGCCCACTCTCTCTGTGCATATACCACCATCAACTGGTCCACTTGCCATCTTTGTCTGCTGTCATCAAGTGGTACATCCTCCTGCAAGAGACAACAACAAATCATTCCCTGCTTTTTTCCCTGCAAATCTTTGTTCCCCTCACCCAATCCAATAATGCAGCAGCCAGCCAAAACTGTAGTAGAATACACACAGCAAAATCCAGACCTTGTGGCTCTGCGCTCTCTCCATCCTCTCCTCTCCTCCCACCCACCTCCATTTTCCTCAGAAGCTCCTCTGCACTTTCTGCCGATGCAACAATGTGCCTCGCAGAGTCCTCGATGAACCCTTGCTCCACTCCTTTGTCGAAGAGGGCGAGCAAGCTGTCATAGTACCCATCCACGTTGAGCAAACCCACCTGCTGAAGAGCTTTAGAGAACCAGGAACCACCAGATGTAATGTAAGATTAATGCAGGCTAGAAGATTGGTTACTGACAGGCTTGTGATGGATTCCAAGTTGAGAATGAGCTATTATCTCCAAGAGCTCTTCCATGGTTCCATAACCACCTAAGGAGATTAGGTTTATGGGTATAGCTATCAAAGCACAGGGATGTGAGCGAGCAACATTGTGCTGTGAGTATAACCTAACCTGGAAGGGCTATGAAGGCATCAGCACATTTGGCCATTTCTGATTTCCTCTCATGCATGTCTGCAACTTTGATCAGATCTCCAATGGTTTCACCTGATACCTACACCAGCAATTGCACCTGCAACTTGAGATAATGTAAGACTGAGAAGAGGAGGGTTGGGAGCTTCACCTCATTTGGCAAGAGAGCTGTGGGAACGACACTGGTGGGAACAAAGCATTAGAAACATGGAGTAACAGAAAGAACAATACAACACAAGTTATTTGAGGCGGCGGTGAGGTGTACCCAAGGACATGGCAGCCACCATCGAAGACAGTCTTGGATACCAGACCCATCAGGCCGGCACTTCCACCACCGTAAACGAGGTCTATTTTTCTCTCTACCTGAAAGGAAGAAGATCAATAAGCAAACAAGAGGTCTTGGAGCAAACAAGTATACGACATTTCTTTCTGCTCGAGTCTTACCAGTTGCTTGCCAAGATCAAGAGCTGCTTGGCTGAAAGATGGCCTGTTTCCTGACCTACTCCCACAGAAGACACATATCCTCCTAAACTTCCCTGTGCTCCCACTACCACTACTCTCCACTACATTTGGTTCACCAGCCTCCATCCCTCAAGAACAGGAGAGGAAGGAGACGATGCACAAAGGCCTAGAGGTGAGGGAGCAAAGAAGGGGAGGTAAGAGCTAAGAGAAAAGGAGAAAAGAGTTAGAGGAGCCAACACCATTGCCCACCTTTATGATCTCCAGAACCTCCTTTTCTCTGTCAACCAGCTTTTACTTGGTGCTGGAGGTGACACCAACAAGAAACTTCTGCATCTTCCTTCTTTTCCCTGCCCCTTTACCCTCACCCATCCTTGCTTTTGTGCCAATCCAATCAGTGCACTTGTGCTGGTTTTCTTTGTCTCATATCAATTTACAAGCCTCTCAAGTATTTCTAGGACCAACCGGAGAAGCCCCATTCTTCATTTAGGCCTTTCCATTTCATGCTTTAGGCAAATGCAGTCAAACTAGAAGATTTACAGCTGCTGATGAGACCCATTGACACAAAAGACAGTTGATGCACAGATTAAAATAGTGTGTCCCAGTTCATGCACAGGCTCCACAACATGTTTTCTTGTCAGTCCTGATTTGTCATGGCCATTTCAATGCAAGTCCAATGTGATAGTAGGGGTTTCAGGAGCTTCCAGGTTTCTATTTGTGTTGGTCTGGAGAAACCATGGGGATTGGCTCATGGCATCAGAACTGTTCTTGGGGTTTGGAGGTATCCTGTGGGAGGGTTGAAAGAGACAGGTTGAGGTGTGTGAGTCACACACCTGAATCCAAGAAGAGCTGCTGCTCTCGAAAGGCTACACCTCTGAGTTGATCACTTCTCTGTGGACGCTTCTTTCTTTATGGTTCATTCATTGCCTAGTTTTCTGTGTTTGTTGGTTCTGCTTGTTCTCATTTTGAGTCGATAGGGATAGAACATTGGGAGGTATCAAACCACCCAACCCCCTTGCAAAAGATGGTGAGTGTGTGTGTGTGTGTATATATATATATATATATATATATATATATATATATATATATATATATATATATTGATGGCTACATTGATGGAGAGAATGATCCAAGATCTCTCTATATAACACTGCTTGCTCAAAGCAAAAGCTAAGAGAACTGGACCTCTGAAGAAAAAAAGTATAGGTAGAATTAATGAACATTGGTGAGGTTTGGGAGATGTGATTTGAAGTCCTGAAAACAAAGTTAGAACCTAGAACTACAAGATTAAGTTAATCAAACTCTCCTTGATTGCTAACTTTATCTGCACATAATAGTGACTGCCTCAATCTCAAACACTTATTCCCAACTTGACTCACATATGTGCAGGTCAAGTTCAGGTAGACCCAATTTTTTCTTGGGTTACAGATTTTGACAACTCATACTTTCTTAATATTGTTATTTGCCATGTTTTATCCAATATGATAGTACTAGTGCTCAGAAAAATCCATCAATGATTTGCCATGTCCATTCACATGCCAACAGCCATATCTAAAGTGAGGATGAATCTATCATAACCTTATTAATGGAACCATCTTCTTTGGCTATTGTAATTGTTTCTTTGTCCTTTCGATTTAAATGAAGAACTCTTTCTTATACACTGACTTCCTAAAATATTTGATCAAGCAACAAAGTACGCTAATTCCTTTCACCCTAGTGATGATTTGCACCATCGAAATAGATTGTTTGGCATGCGAAGAATGTTAACATCGGAAATTACATCTTTGTAACTTCAGTGTCTGTGTTCAGTTGTTGTTTTCACCGTTTGTGGATGCACCACTTTGCATTCTATTTCCTATGCAAGCACAAACTTTGTGCGTAGCTTCAAACTCGTCTTCGATCAAGTCTTTAGGCTCACCTTCCTCAAGTATGCTCAATAGCATGATTCAATTATCAAATTGCTTGCAAGTAGAAATGGCTGCAATTGGGACACCAACTAATTTCTCTGGAATCTGAACCCAATCTCAATTAACTTAGGTGTTTGAATTCGACTCATGAAAATATTTTTCTGCCCAAACTCTATTTGACCCAATTCTGACATACTATGATTCCTATCTCACATATAGTATCCCATAATATAATATAATATAATATAATATAATATAATATAATATAATAGCAGTCGAGTGCAATGAGGCGACAAACAAGAAGCCTCCACCTGACTTCTGATGTATGCGGCCCCCTCGACACGACCGCACAACTACAACCGCGGGCCCATACCAACTCTACCAATCCCACCCACGTACGAGAAGAGATTACGCGTGTCGAGACGGACGGCCCACACCGCAGGACAACCGATCACGAACCTGCGTCCGATGTTCTTCACCGTCTGATCGCACCCCGCCCGGTCCACGTTATATGCACCCTCCTGCGCGCTTCTGTTTTTATTAGCTGTAGAGGTGTGCTCCGCCGCCGAATCCGAGGTCGAGCTCGAGCCTCGTGCTTTCCTCCTCTCCCCGGCCCCCCGCGTCCATGGCGGCCTCCGCCCTCACCTGCAACGTCGACCTCCATTCCCTCGTCTCCTTCCGCCGCCGCCGCATGCTTCCCCCTCAGTCCCTCATCTCCAGATCCCCCGCCTCCTCCTCCGGTAAGAACGCTTCCTTCCCCTGCCTCCGATCTGCTCCCACCCAAAGCTTTCCCGCCGGATTGACCTCCGTCGATGACCGCCGTCCTCTGATCAACGTCGTCCGCGCTTCTGCCGCCGCCTCTGCCGCACCCACCGCTGCACCCGCCCCCGCCCCATGGCAGGGCGCAGCCTTGAAGCCCCTAGCCGCCTCGATTGCTACTGGCGTCCTCCTCTGGTTCGTTCCGGCCCCCTCCGGCGTCTCTCGCAACGCGTGGCAGCTCCTCGCCATTTTCCTGGCCACCATCATTGGCATCATTACGCAGCCGCTCCCCCTGGGCGCCGTCGCCCTGATGGGCCTCGGCGCGTCCGTCCTCACCAAGACGCTGCCCTTCGCCGCTGCCTTCTCCGCGTTCGGGGACCCCATCCCCTGGCTCATCGCCCTCGCCTTCTTCTTTGCCCGGGGCTTCATCAAGACCGGCCTCGGCAACCGAATCGCTTACCAGTTCGTCTCCCTTTTCGGGAGCTCCTCCCTCGGCCTCGGCTACAGCCTCGTCTTCAGTGAGGCCCTCCTCGCCCCGGCCATCCCCTCGGTCTCGGCCAGGGCTGGGGGGATCTTCCTCCCCCTGGTGAAGGCCCTCTGCGTCGCTTGCGGAAGCAACGTGGGGGATGGGACCGAAAACCGGCTGGGCTCGTGGCTCATGCTCACTTGCTTCCAAACCTCGGTGATCTCGTCGTCCATGTTCCTCACCGCCATGGCCGCAAATCCCCTGAGCGCCAACCTTACTCAAAATGCCATCAAGCAGACGATCGGATGGACCGACTGGGCGGTGGCGGCAATAGTGCCTGGCCTGGTCTCGCTGGTCGTTGTGCCATTGCTGCTCTACCTGATATATCCACCAACCGTGAAGAGCAGCCCCGACGCTCCGAAGCTTGCTAGGGAGAAGCTGGAGAAGATGGGGCCGATGACGAAGAACGAGATTATCATGGCAGGGACACTGCTTCTGACGGTAAAGATTGCCCCTTTTCCCCTCCCTCCCCTTTTCTTCGTTCCTTTGTTTATCTTTTTGCTGTGATCATCTGCTTGCTATTCCATAAAATTTACATTTAGCAGATTCTCCTCAGCAATTGCCTACCATCATTATAACAGTCAATCTGATCCATTTTAATACAAGTGATCCAGAGAGCCATCAATCCATTTTGCTTTCTATTAAGTTGGTGCAACTTAATCTCATCCTAACCTCAGATTTATTCTTTTGTTCCATGATACTGACACAGATCTCATCTGCTTGCATAATCTCTTTGATACATTTGATCAGGAGTATGTCTATTTTGTTGGAATGTGAAATCAGAATCTATGGATTGTTATACTCTTAGTTAAATAGCTATCATTGACACCTTAATCAAATTTTGGAAAAATATATAGGGTGTTAAGATACTCAACTCTTTGTCAAAGTTGGTGTCAAGTTCCTTGCTGAGAACCTTTGTCGACTAAGTTAAAAGGTTCAAGGAAATGACAAAAAAAGTTAAGTCTGACTTATACAAATATGTGGATTAGGAATTGGTAAGATGTTTATCATAGCAATATCACACTGATGAGAACTTTGTTCTACAATGTAGTATGGCTACATTTTGGGATTCAACGAAAAGTAGATGAATTAGAGTTCAGTTAAAGGTATGCATCGAGTTGGATGAGTTTCGCATAATTTAGGTTCTTTTGTTTATTTTGAGACATTGTATAGGACCTTTATTGTTGAGTCATTTAAAAAATTTGGATTCTTTTATTTCCCCAATGAACATAAACTATATTTCAATCTTCGTAAATTATTTGGAGGGTACATAAGGTTCTTGATGTTGTTCTCCCTGATGATACGAAGAATGTATGATGATGCTCATACGAAGAATGTATGATATTCCATACTCACCAAAAATTGTGTACTGGCCTGGAGAGATCTGAGCCTGTTTTGGAGGGAGATAAACTTGAAATATTGGGAGATAGTAACTATTAGTTGCAGCAACCATGCTGGTCACAAAATTGTTTTTCAAGATTGCACATACACCTAACTATGCTCTAGGATTGCTATTTTATTTCATAATCTAGCTTCGAGAGTTTAAATGAAGAACAATGTGTCTACCTTTACCATTCTTTTGTGTTTTTTCTGTAGTTTTCCTTCTCGTGTTCTTCTCGTAAAGTTAAAATATCATAGGAGAAGAGCCATCATGACCACCAAGTTATATATATATTTTTGGCAACGATCCAACTTCTGAGTACGGATTCATTTCCTGGTGTATAATAGTTTCTTGTGCAACATAAAGGTTCCTGCTTTAAGAGCCTAAAAGGATCATTGTACTGCTTTTCATGATTGTCTTCACCAACATGGTGGTTCATGTAAAAATTAAAGACATTTCTAAGTATAATTGAGCAAATAAACTCATAAGAATTTGTGTCTTTTGTTGTCACAGGTGGGACTTTGGATATTTGGAGGTGTACTAAATGTGGATGCTGTAACTGCTGCAATCGTCGGATTATCTATTCTTCTCATAACAGGTGTTGTGACATGGAAGGAGTGTTTGGCAGAGTCAGTAGCATGGGACACCCTTACTTGGTTTGCCGCACTTATAGCAATGGCTGGGTATCTCAACAAATATGGTTTAATCTCCTGGTTTAGTCAAACAGTAGTCAAGGTATGACGTATTTGTTTCTATCACACTTACATATATTGTCTCTTTGTATAATAAAATATTTCTCATTGTTTCTAGAGATTTTAAAAATACAGGTAGACATGATATTAAGTTATTGTGCAATCGCTTCATTATTTCTTAACACTTAATCTTGTGATTTCCATTTACACTTTCTGTTGTACTGGTCAATTTTTAAGCACTAGGAGGGAATATAATGTCGCTTTGCCAATGCACCACATGCACTTACATCCTTGTACCAACATGTATTTTACTGTAGGATCTCATCTAGAGCTAGACATTTTGAATCCAATCAGATATGAATATTTTTTTATTTAGTTAGAAGGCATTGTGTAGTTTTATTATGTTCTAGTCTTAACCTTTTATTGCATAGTGCATTGAGCTGTGTAAATGATCATGCATGAAACAGGAATATCCTTAGGCACATACTTTTTAGATCTTGAACATGAATGCATCATTTGAATGGTTGTGCTTCTAGATGATCCATGGATATGGTCAACAATGCTTTGGTTTAGTGTAGCTAGTGAGTTGCCTGTTAGCCCTGGCTTAGGAGAAGGCTAGCTAATACAAAACTAAGGTAGCATTCTAATGATGTGAGTGCGCCCAAGAGCTTATTGGGGTTGTTACAAGAGGCAGACCCTAAAACCAGTAAACCCTTGCAATCAAGCACTCAGGTTATCAGGGTTATTGCAAGCATCATGGAGGACTTCTGAATGTGAGGCAGATACTAAACCCCCACTCTGAATATGAGTGTTGCTGTTACTATTCAATTTACATTAAAGGTGACATAGGGATGAATTTGACAGAAAGTATCATCATTGCAATAATAGGTTTTTACGATTGATACTGAATGGCTGATCTAAATTGTAGAGGGCTTCACAATTGTGATTATGTAATTAGCTATGCACTTGTTTAAACTCCAGCCATGAGGTGTTCCTTGGTGATCTCTAACGTATCCAAATTCAGGATTAAAACTATGTTGTGGCGGTTTCTCTATTATTAGACATGCATTTTCTAAAGTTAACATTAAAAACTAAGAATGCAGTAATTATGGATTAGTCAGTACTCTTGCTAACATAGGAATTTGCTTCTATTCAGTTTGTAGGTGGGTTGGGTCTTTCATGGCAGCTCTCTTTTGGCATTTTGGTTCTGCTCTACTTCTATTCCCACTATTTCTTCGCAAGTGGGGCAGCACACATTGGAGCTATGTTCACAGCCTTCTTGTCGGTAGCAAGTGCATTAGGCACCCCTCCTCTCTTTGCAGCAATGGTTCTCTCCTTCCTGTCCAATCTAATGGGTGGACTCACCCACTATGGTATCGGGTCTGCACCGGTTTTCTACGGTGCAAACTACGTCCCGCTTGCTAAGTGGTGGAGCTATGGATTTGTCATTTCTGTCGTCAATATTATTATCTGGCTTGGTCTTGGGGGCTTCTGGTGGAAAACCATTGGCTTGTGGTGAAGAAGGCTTCTGAAAATTCAGCTTTATTTTTTTCTTACAAGCATACATGTCTTCCCCAAGTTTTGTTCTTGGGATCCTCACAATCCTTCTATTTATTTTTCGGGACCAAAAGGAGTATTTTGGAGAGATAGATGATTGTAGCATAGCATCCAAGGTGTTGGACTCTGTGATTTTTCTTTTATTCCGGTAGCAAAATTTTGTATTTTGTTTCACCAAATAAGTCTCTTAAGTTCTACCTGTTGTTGGAAAACACTGAAAGAAAGTAAATTCAATGTATGTTGATTGTCATTTCTATGCCTATTGAAATTGTCTCAAACTGTGGTGCAGTTTGTTTCCTCATTGTTTAGATTCTCTGCATGGTTTGAAGCATGTTTATATTCTTTGCCCAATAGAAGGTACTTCCTTTTGTGTAAGTACAATTAATATCCAATCTGACATATTATATTACTAAAAATGACATGATAAACAGGAAAAAGGATACCAGAATGAGAAGCCAATAGAATTTTGCAACTTAACTTAAATCACAAAGTACTAACAATTACCAAAATCTAAAGCATTCTGTTTAACTCAACAATCAAATAAACTATTGTTATTCAAAAAAAAAAAAAAAATCGTAACGAACAACGAGGGGTTAGTGGTTATTACCCGATTGTTGCCGATCATCACCAGTAATCCCCACAGGAGCACGCGCCATCCTCAAACCGGTGGAAACGATTGTTATCCCTCAGCACGATCGCCCGGCCTGTGCATTTCGACAAATACTTGATGGCCGTGTGGCAATCCACGCACACCCTCAGGTTCTTCATCACTCTGATGGGCTGCCCCTCCGGCACCACCAGCAACCCCAATCCTATCGCCAGCCGCTCGCTGTGATACCATATCGCCGCCCGCTTCTCTTCGCCGCCCACATCCCTCAGCACCTGGCTTGTGTCCGGCACATACCCGGCCTTCTCCATCCTCTCCCCCACCTCCTCCAACACCGCGTATATCTCGTCGCCCCTTGGGTGTCGCCGGTCTCCCGATACGAAGGTGTGCACTTTCCCCGCCGTCTCTAACCAGCTCAGACCCGTCTCCTTGCGCACTCCTCGATCCCGCATCGCCTTCCTCGCTTGAGCGGCATCCGCGTAACGTCCTGCCGCGGCATATGCGTTCGACAGCAGCATGTGAGCACCAGAGCTTGAAGAGCCCGTTTCGAATAGTTTGGTGGCTGCATACGCGGCGGTGTCGGCGTCCTTGTGGATGCGGCACCCGGTGATGAGTGCCCCCCACACAGATTCCGTCGGTTCGATCGGCATTTCCTCGATGAATGCGACGGCCTCAGTGATGCGACCGGCGCGGCTGAGAAGATCGACCATTGCTGCGTAATGCTGGGCGCCTGGCTCGATACCATACTCAGACATCAAAGCGAAATAGCGTTTTCCCTCGTCCACGAGACCCGCGTGACTGCATGCGGTGAGCAAACAGAGGAAGGTGATGAAGTTAGGGGAGAAGCCGGCTGCTTTCATCTCTTGGAAGCGGTGAAACGCAACGTGGATATGGCCATGCTGCGCCGACGCGATGAGTATAGCATTCCAGGCGCCAAGATTCCGGTCGGGCATCTGGTCGAACAACTCGTAAGCTTCTTCCACGATCCCACATTTAGAATAGAGTGAGATGAGGGAGCTACCAACGAAGGGGGAAGAGTCGAAGCTGGTCTTGAAGCAATGCGCATGGATACTGGAGCCGAGCTCGAGGAGGGTGGCGGTGCTGCAGACCCTGATAATGCAGGAGTAGGTGAAATCGTTGACCCCGGGGGGTTCGAGTTCGGCGAGTGCCATCTTGAACAGCCTGAGAGCGTCAGGGTCGAGGCCGGCTTCGGCATAGCCGTAGATTATGGCGCTCCAGGAGACGACGTTGCGTTGCGGCATGAGGTCGAACAGGCGTCGGGCTTCCGCGAGGAGTGCCGACTTGGCGTACATGTCGACGAGGGAGGAACCGACGAAGACGTCCTCGGCGAAGGGGGTCTTGAGGGCGAGGGCGTGGAGGGAGCGGGCAAGCGAGGGAGAGGAAAGGGCTGCAGCGGCCTTAGCGGCCGAGGGGAGGGAGCGGTCGGAGGGAGGGACGGCGAAAAGGAGCATGGAGCGGAAGGCGGCGATGGCGGGGAGGGGGAGCCCGTTCTGGGCGAGGGAGGCAAGAAGGGCGGACCAGGCAGCGGCGGGGCGGGGGGAGGGGGAGTCATCGAAGGCAGCGCGGGAGAGGACTGGGAGGCCGCAGCGGGCGTAGAAGGTGATGAGGTGGTTGGAGAGGGGGCGGGTGGCGGCGGCGGGCGAGGAAAGGAGACCGGACTTGAGGAGGTGGGCGTGGAGCTGCTGGCCTTTGGGGAGGGAGCGGGCGGCGGAGAGGGAGAGGAGGAGGTCGGCTAGGGCGGGCGCAGAGGTCGGGAGATAGGGTGTATGGGTAAGGCGGAGGAGTGGCATTTACGGGAGAGAGAAGGACATGGAGACGCCAAAATAAGTTTTATAGAAGCGGCGCATTGGCCGTTGCGGCGTGAACCCACCGGAGGGAGGATGACCCTTTCGGCTGCTACCGTAAGGATGTGCCAATAAAAGTATGACACACAAGCAACGCCAATGGGTCCCGCATTTCAATTGTAAACGAACGATTTAACGGGAAAACTTTGAGCTTTTTTACTTCGGCATGTTTTTTAAAAATTTATATGGGAGAATTAATTATTTTATTTTTTAAGGATAAACGAAGTGGGATTCGAACCCAAGATTTTTATTAATTAAATTAATTATTATCCTGAAAAATATACCGTATGAGATTTTAAACTCTCTAATATATTTCTTTAAAAATTTTAAAACTTAAATGAGTTTAATACATCATCGTCGTACCAATATTTAAAACGTTATAAATGATATTTTTTAACCTTGCTTATGATCTCTTTTTCTTGATCGTAGTATTTTGGTATGGTACATTTCAGCATCATTCACAGGACAGCAGACGACGACCACGACAGGGTCGAGAAAGGACCTCCAGGCTTACATGATGCAATACCTTGAACCCTAACAAGATGACCACACGACCCTCATGTTGTTCGGCACCATACAAGTTAGCGTCGAACACAACGGATCAATTCCGGAAAACTCAGAATGGCACCGCACAACGCGAACTTGCACAAGTCGGTGCCAAGCACCGTAGAGCCATTCTGAAAAGCTCAAAACTACGTCGCATGGTGTGGACCCATACAAGTGGCATGTTCGTTCGTAGGGTATAAGCCATCCTCCTGAGGAATTGACAGTCATTAAATGATCATGTACGATCGGCCCTCTATCGCATATATAAAAGCCAACCCCTGCCAATGCAATGGGGACTCCGAGCATTCAACTCACCCTTACTCTACTCAATACTAACTTAACCTTCAGAGGGTTGAGTCGAAAAATCCCTCTCCTGATCTCAGCCTTTGTGCAGGATCTGACGATGGAGAAACAAGCAATGAGACCTGAACTCAACCCGACTCGACATTCACTTTCGCCATCCTAATCTCTGCGTGAGCAACCTTGCACATATAGGATTAGACTAAATCGTACTGACACCTTGGCCATGACGTAAAGCTTCACCGACACCTCACACTCCCCTCCGCTAATGATCTTAATTTTTATGACCTTCTTAACATCTCTCTAATGATCAGCTCGTGTCGTCATTAAAGGACAAGTTCTGTGTTATTCATCGCACTAACGATTTTGTCTATGTTCTTGGCGTCACCATCATTGACCACCACTCCAATCTTAATCTTTTGAGTGCATCATTATCGTCAAGCAGGCTTTGTCATCGTCGTTGCTTACGAACGGCGGCAAAGCCCTTGCCATCAAGTGTCGAACGCCGCCTTCTCCGCAGCCTTTAAGCTCCTCACCGAGATCCCTGCCGTCGAGGATGAGATCATCGGTGGTCTTTGACGCTATGATTTTTGTTGCCACCGTAGTCATCATATTTCAAAATCAAAAAAGAAATTCCAAAGATCAATAATTAAAAAATAATTTAAAAAATGATATTAAGATTTTATAAATGATGTTCATTTATAAATGACATCATCTATTCACCTTAGACCTTTATTTACCTAAAAAATATTTGTTTGGCAAAGGATAAGAAAATTTTATTATGTGATCAAAGGATAAGAAAATTTTATTATGTGATCAAAAAAAAAAATAAAACGTGCAATATGAACCCAATCATTAATTTTTTTAGTCTAACTATTAGTTTAAATTGATAAAACTAAAGTTAACAATAATATACTCATAAAGCCCTTATAAATCAATCGAAGTTTTTACCAACTTCTAATACAAAATAAATTAGAGTTTTATACAACTAAAGTATCTTCTTTTCGTGTTGTGACCACCTAATATAAAAGATATCTAACTCATTCGACTTAATCAAAACGTTTTTCTTTTTGCATGGTACGTAAAACAAGAAGTAATGAAACATACAATATTTCCAACCCTTCCACTCAATGTATTCACGAGAAAACAAGCAAAATATTATTAATATATTATTTTTAATGCATATAATAATGATTGAGATCCGAACCTAAAATAAATATTACGCTCTAAGACAAATAAACCCTCGCCCGAAGTGTAACGAGAAAATGATGTGATCATTAGTTTTGGAACAATCACAATCCGTGGAGTGCAACAAATATCTACAACAAATGCTACACCAACTTTTGATGGATGATGAGAACCTCATTGTTATGCTATGTCAACAAACTCCCCCGGAGAGTATTTTTTTCTTGTTAATACTATATTAGCAAACTACTTAAAGAATTTTTTTTTATTAAATCAATGATTATAATATTAAGACTAACTCTTCAAGACATCTTAAAGTCATAAAGGACGTTGAATCAATGGATCTCTCTCTTTAACATTGTTCATCTTCGTTTTAAAGTAACTAATCCGTTGGTTATAATAATTCTTTCTTTGTTTAATATTAGTCAACAAAATTTGGATGAGAAATAATGACTCTTTGGTTTAACTGTTGGGATCATAATATCACTATGAGAGATGGGGGTTGAATCAGTGCTATAGTATATTTTAACTGTTTTTAAAGTTTTGATCAATAAATTTGTATACAAAATAACAATGTGAATAAGAGTTACGAGTAAAATAAATGAGTAAACAATAGTAAATCTAAAGCAAGAGACAGAAGACAAACCAATTTACAGTGGTTCGATATTTCAAACCTAAGTCTACTCTCGATTTCTCTTTTATTAAGGTTATCAATTTTCATTACTGATCTTCTTTCCAATAGACAAAGATCAATTACCACTGTTACAGTTTTTTTCTTTTTAGTAGGTTTAAGAGAGAGCTTTCACATGCACTCTTTTATAATATCTTTCACCTCTTACAGCTTAGAATTACTTCTAAACTCAAGGAGGAAGAGACTCAATAATGCTCAAAGAGAGAGTTACAATTCTTCACAAACTCAAAATTTGAGGCTTCATTAACCAAGCCAATAAGATATTTATAGACACTAAGAGGCTCCAAAAATGGAGTCAAAAAATTTAAATCCTTAAAATTGTGGGGTACGTATGATACTACTGTTAGGATCGAGAGCACTAAGAGGGGGGGGTGAATTAGTGCAGCGGAAATCTTACAGCGATTTAAAA